TCCCCCAACCCCCCGGCCGACACAGCTTAGATCGTGTTTTCTGTGGCCAACTTACCAACCTTGCTTGTCAAGGCTGAGAGCGATACTACATCCCAGCAGAATGATGAACGATATGCTCTATAAGATTTTCACCCCATTCAGGAATCGAACTCAGGTCTTCCGCGTGCAACAACGAAGCACCTGAATAAGGGGAAAAAATGTTATTTCAAGGGTTGGACAGCTTCTTTCTGGTGACACTTATTGGGTTTTTTTTCGGAGCACCATCGATTTGTTTAATAGTACGTCCATGGCCGAGTGATTGGGCTGTTGGGAGCACCGTCGAAAGGTAGTGGGTTCGAACCCCGTACTGGGCCCGGCGTTGTGTCCTTGGGAAAGGCATCATCATCATCAATGCCTTTCACCCCTGGCAGGGTATAGGCCACATACGAGCTCTTTCCATTTATCTCTGCCCTGGGCCATCCTTCCTAGCTTTTTCCAAGTGAGCTTCATCTCTCTCATGTCCCTTTCCACACATCTCCTCCATGTTTCCCGTGGCCTACCCCTGCCTCGTGCTCCCTGTGGATTCCACTGTTGCTTTGGAAAGACCCTTAACACGAATTTTCCTCACTTCATCCAGGGAATGTATACTCGTCTAGAGACAGCGACAGATCTCGTCAGTTTGTTAATGTTTGAACACTTAATCAGCTGTTTGCAATCTATGTTTCTTCGGAAGCCGAGAATGTTTCTGAATGTTTTAGCTTATTCACCCAGTGCCAGATCTGCCACAGACATCGGCGATCATGGTTCTTCATTCATTCCTTTGCTCGGATTCTCTTTAAAAAGCTACGTTTCCCTGATCTTTCCCCGTTACCCATGCGTTTAGGTTCCCTAAGTATGTTGCTCTGGGCCTACCCCTACCTCGTTTGCCTTCAATTTTTCCAGTGAGGGCTACATGTTCAAGACCTTTATGTCTATTCAGGTGTCCCCAAAACTGCATTTGTCGTTTCCTGATTGTTTTTAACAGCGATCGTCCCACGTGGGCTTCATCAAGCACTACCTCATTTGATTTCTCTTCCTTTCACTATCATCTTAGCAGCGTATGCTGGGATAATAATGATATAGATTTTAAAGCGCATAGAGCTTGCTGTTTTAAAAAAAAGGGGGTGGGGGCGGGGGGACGTCGGTAAACCCCAAAAAATTGTACTTTTTCTTTTATGATTATCAATATTATTTTTGTTATTATTATTATTGTTATTGTTATTACTGTGTTTCAGTTCGGTATTGGCACAGGTACTGCGGGCCTCATTTTCATGATTGGACCTGG